GCAACTGAAGTGGAAAGCTGCTCCTGTTCTGCTCAGTGCCTCCTTTTAGGACGTCGCCTTTTTCAAAGCGCTTCGGCCTCAGACACCAAACGGGACACAAGCAAAACCAACAAGGCAGATTCTAACAGAAAATCGCCTCCTTCTGGTTTTCCGCCTCCTTTTTTCCTCTCTTCTCTTTATGCCAGGGAAGTGCTCTCAGTTGTTTTTGTAATCATAGGTGGATTTTTTTCTCCTTTCTTTATAATATCGACTGAATCCAGACAAACTAATGACGGCAGAGGTTCAGCAGCCCCCAGCGCAGCCTCCTGCCCAGAGCAGCCCGATGTCCGCGCAGGAGAAACCTCACGGACAGACGGTGGTGATGGAAACCGGCTCATCCACCACCAAAACTAAGAAGACGAACGCAGGGATCCGGAGACCGGAGAAGCCCCCATACTCATACATAGCTCTGATAGTCATGGCCATTCAGAGCTCTCCAACCAAGCGGCTCACGCTCAGTGAAATTTACCAGTTCCTCCAGAGCCGCTTCCCGTTCTTCAGAGGCTCCTACCAGGGATGGAAGAACTCCGTGCGTCATAACTTATCTCTAAACGAGTGCTTCATTAAGCTTCCTAAGGGCCTCGGTCGGCCTGGGAAGGGCCACTATTGGACTATCGACCCGGCCAGCGAATTCATGTTCGAGGAGGGCTCCTTCAGAAGAAGACCCAGGGGTTTCAGGCGCAAATGCCAGGCGCTGAAGCCCATGTACGGCATGATGAACGGCCTGGGATTCAACCACATCCCCGAGGCATACAACTACCAGGGGAGCGGCGGAGGCCTGTCCTGTCCGCCCAACAGCCTGTCTCTGGACAGCGGGATCGGGATGATGAATGGACACTTGGCGGGTAACATGGATGGGATGGGTCTCTCCGGCCACTCCATGTCGCACTTGTCGAGCAACAGTGGACATTCCTATATGGGAAGTTGCACCGCGTCCACCGGGAGCGAATACCCGCACCACGACAACTCCGCGTCCCCTCTGCTCACCAGCGGGGGGGTTATGGAGCCTCACCCCGTCTACTCGAGCTCGGCTTCGGCGTGGGCCTCTGCCCCTCCGGCTTCGCTCAATAACGGGGCTTCTTATATCAAGCAGCAGCCTCTGTCTCCGTGCAACCCAGGGGCGAACAGTCTGCAACCGAGCTTGCCCACACACTCACTGGACCAATCCTACCTGCACCAGAACGGACACAGCACCACAGATTTACAAGGTAGGCTGCATTTAAAGTCATATTTCCGATTATACAAAACTGCACCATATTCTGCGATGATGGTAGAGATCACACAGAAAAATGCAGTCAGATTAAAATAAAATATACCAAAACGTTACTTCGGTGCCAAATATGCACGGTGTGTTCAGTTATTATAGAGGAGGTTAAATTAAGGCCATCAGGATAAATGACCACCCATTTCATCCTTCTGAAATTAACATACACCTACACACGAGTTCCTGATTAAATACAGCTTAAATGACACCCAGATATTTACTTTCATTTGAGTGATCAAGAGGAAAAAAAGGGCATGGGGGGGTAGAGATGCGTGCAAATTGCTGCGCTATAAAGAAACAGGCACAGTAAGGTCCAGCCAAGCTCCCTGCGGGACTGGCGTGCAAGAAGGCCGATGTCAATTAGCCCTGAGCCCGCCTCTGTTTAAGCCTACTGTAGGCAAAAAACAAAAAACCTAAAAAACATATTAAAAAAGAAAACATATTTCTAAGTAGCTATCATTATTTTTTGTATAATGTACAGAATTTATTTTTGAAAGCATTTTTTTTATTTGAAATTATGTGTTTGTATTAAATTGTAGGCTCTAGACATAAAGCCTGAAATTAAATAATATTAATAATATTGATATGCATTTCAGTTTTAAAAATGTTTAGAAATGAATGCCATCTTTAACAATTCTGTTATTATAGTAATATTCCTCATCCTCTCCACGCAGGTATTCCTCGGTACCATTCCCAGTCTCCCAGCATGTGCGACAGAAAGGAGTTCGTGTTCTCCTTTAACGCAATGACCTCCTCCGCCATGCACTCACCGGGAAACAGCTCCTACTACCACCACCAGCAGGTCTCCTACCAGGACATCAAGCCGTGCGTGATGTGATCCCTGCAGGGACGAGCTGCAGACCGCATGGACGGCGTGTGTGTGTGTGAGCCAACCCGGACTGGAGACATGCAGGCAGCAGCAAGGGAACTGAGAATAATAATTAAAAAAAAAAAAAAAACACCTCTGAGAGACTTTTTTTTTTTTTTTTTTTTAACCAAGGAGAGAGCTCCCTGCCTCCATGTAGAACGGACTACTTTCATGAGTTTTTGGAGACCAGACGACTAAAGCCACACAATAATAAATAATAATAATATATAATGAAACAAACTTTTTATACTTTCAAAGTGGCAAAAGAAAAAAAAAAACTGTTGCTGTTTGGTACTAAGTCCTGCAGAGCGGATGACCTCTCACTTCTCACATGTTTAATCATTTTGTAAAATATGCACACCTTCATTTTCTCCGTTTATTTTTATTTTTTGTATTATTTCTAATTCTTATTTTGTTAACAAATGAGCTGGAACAAAATATCCAGCATTGAATTCTGATTCAATAATTATGGACAATACATAGGCCTATATACTGTAAGTCCATACTGTATACTGTGTAAAAAAAAATGGCACTTTTTGAATAGCCTATAAGCGCAACTTTATTTATTCTCTAGGCCTGTATTTTCAATTTCAGGCAAATTGGCCAAGGCGTTCAGTGCTTTATTGGCAATATTTGTCAAGATGTGTGTTATTTGTTAAAAAAAAAAAAAAAAAAAAGAACATTAAGGATATTACTGTAAGCACTGTGTCGTTTGTGTCAAATGTATGTGGACTATTACTTCATTCACTTAGTATAGACAGGCTTTTATCAGGAAAAACAGCGAGGGTTCCTCCTAGTGAGGTTGATCATTTTTTATGAAAATAAAACCACCCAATTTAAGGGGCAGTCTGACCTACTAAATCTTGAAATTGAGAGCTTATCTTGCATTTTACAGAGAATCAGGTCGATTCTTCCTTAGCATTTTAAATTATTCGCCTTTGCAAAGGTTTTAGCCTATGAGGCACTGGCGTAATACATCAACTTTCTGAAAATTCTCCACAATAATTCATTGATGCAAAAACAATCTAGAAATAAGTAAAAAAAGATGTCTTAAATTAAGCGTGTTTACCCTTAATTTGAGCAGTTAAATATGAATATCTGCCAATGGAATGAGTATTTTTACTCTTAGAATAATATAATTAGACAATATTCACTTTAAATAAGAGAATGCATTTTTTTCTTATTATAAATATAGATTGTCTTGTTCCATTGGCAAAATATCTTACTTCTTCAATTCAAGACAAAATTAACTTATTTTAAGAAAAAAAATACTTATTTAGATGGAAGTTTTTTGCAGTGTTTTGCTGTAAATTCTACGTTTTTAAATGATAAACATTCACATATATATATATATACATATATATATATATACATATACATATACATATATATATATATACATATACATATACATATATATATATATACATATACATATATATATATATATATATATACATATATATACATATATATACATATATATATATATATATATATATATATATATATATATATATACATATATATATATATATATATATATATATATATATATATATATATACATATACATATATATACATATACATATACATATACATATACATATACATATATATATATATATATGTATATATATATATATATATATATATATACATATACATATATATATATATATATATATATATATATATATATATATATATATATATATATATATATATATATATATATATATATATATATATATATATATATATATATATATTTCTACGGGATAACTTCTATTTCTAAGCAATGTGCGCTCATTAAAGCCGCTAAAACCTAAATCTTAAACAAACGGTGCAATTAAATCAACGCAAATGTTCGCAATGCCGCAAACCATAACACAGGATGGAATAAATATAATTAAGTTTAAACGCTTTTAATGTTTATGGTTGCTCTGAATTAACAAAAATAAGGATTATTTTTTATTTTTGTTTATTTTTAGAGAATATATTGGTGCCAAATGGCAGCGCGCTCTGCTGCGGTTCACATTGTAATCCAGATCCAGAGGATGGTGTTTCTGAATCCTAATCTGTAGGTTATGTTGGTGTCCAGGCGTGCATCTTTACAGCAGAGAGCAATGCACTATTTAGTTGATATCTTACATGACCAATGACTGAACCCGAGTAAAATACCACCGAGCGCAGCCTATGCAGGGCAACGGCACTTTAACTAACTGCTGACATTTGCTGGGGTTCACGGCTCTGCTGAGGTTCAGGAAAGAGGGATGGAGCTGCACAGCTGTTCCCAGGCCAGGCCTGGATGACAGCTCCAGAAAAAGCCCGGGCCCCGCTCCGTGCAGACAGATGCACCGTGGGCTGGGGTCTCAGAGGAGCTAAGCTTCAGTGGAAACAACCGACACAGCAGAGATCATTTGTCAGGTAACACAGAGAGCTGTAAAACAAAAACAGAACTACAATGCATCATATACCAATCATCATAAGTGGACTGCATGATTGAATTTCATATGAATCTCCTTTGAGAAACACACTTTCAAAACTCCAGCAGTGGAAATAAAAAACAAAAAGGCACTGAAATTACTTTACTTCACTACTGAAGTCTGGCATATTCTTTCACTATCAAAATTTCCTTTGTTAAAGGAAAACGGCTGCTTAAATGTCACATCTCTCTATGTGAAAATGGAGAGAAGAAATCTAATCTTAGCTCTTAGAAATGTTTTAAACAAAACTAAAGAGGACAAATCCATAACTTTCAAATGTAATCCAAACAGTGTTTGGCAATTTTTTTAGGCTAAAAAGACGAATGCAAACTGGATGAGACTAAATGCTTTAATAGAGTTAAACAGTTTAAACAGAGAGGATCGTTTAAGTCACAGTAAAAAAAAAAGTTTAAAGAATTAATATCAGTTCAAAAATATCCATAACAAACATGTAAAAGAAGCAAACAATTCTGCCTCAACGTGTGTCTTAAACTCCAACTTCAAAACTTGGATTTTTTGGGGGGGGGGTTAAATCCCACAAATGAGTGAAAATAAATAAAGCCAGATTAGGACTATAATCACTGTTAGCAAATTGTAGCAAATATAGAAAAAAAAATGGTTGACTTTCCAAGTTTGTCTAGAAGAACACACATGGTGTCCGTGGTTTCCAATGGAATATTGAATAATAAAATATTACTTAATATTTTATTTGGTAAAGAAAACCCCCAAAAACCAGACAGTAAAAACTAGTAAGAAATGAAATGAACTAAAGATGTAGCCTCTATGCTAATTTTACATTTGCTTTTTTTTATGTTAGTCTGGTCTAATGTGCCCAATATAGCATTTGTATTTCTTAGTCTACTAGATGGTGGTTTCCTTGCACACATTTTTAATTTTTAATTTATATATTATTACCAACCAAATATGAAAACAACTTTAAAAATCTGATGTCTTTCAATCGGAAAAAAAAAAAAAAAAAGAATTGTAGAAACAAGATGACCTGCAGTAAGAAATGAACCTTCAGGGAGGAAGATCATCCAAACGTAATAAGAGTTAGGTGTGAACAGACGAAGGCACATCTGGACATTTTTAAAGATATTTTTCGCCTCAAAACTTTACAACAAATGTATTTCATGTAATATTTAATACTGACACCAAATTTAATTTCCTCACTCCTTCAGGTCCTTCTTTTGCTTTAATATAACTAAGAACATTGACTTCATGTAACAGATTCCATCTGAAATGCTACAAATGAAGCAGCTAAACACTTCTAAGGGGATTAAACGTGCATTAACGCAAACATAGCGCTGCCTGTTGCTGTTAGTTCTCCGCCTCCTTGGCGGTGTCACTTTTAGAACCTGTCGGGGGCGTTTTGGACTCTGCGGCCACTGATGGTTTTTGTCTCTGTCCGGACCTCTTGTGTCCCCGCTGGCTCTTGGCAGGCTCGGCCTGCAGGCTGTGACCGTTCAGACAGAGACCCTGCAGCGCCTCCAGGGCCTGGTCTGCCACCTGAGGGTCACTGTAGTCCAGGAAGGCTCTGTGCTGGGCCCCCTGCCAGGTGAGCCTCAGCGGAGCAGCCTTCCTCTCCCTGAGGGCCACTTTCAGCTCGCTGACGCGCAGGCCGGCAGGGATTCCTCCCAGGTAAACAGTGGTGACACTTTGAGGGAGCTTCCTTTGGCTCACTGTTTCACCTCCACCTTCCTCTGGGCCCTGCTCCTTCATCCTCCTCCTGCTCCTGCCTTTCACCACTTTACCAGCTTCTCCCTCCTCCTCTCCTTTGCCACTTCCCCTGCTCTCTTTCCTGACTCTAGCTGGCTGCTGTCTGGCTTTCTGATCTGCCTCTCCTTTTTTCTCCTGCCTGGATTCCTGGCTGGTTTCTCCCTCGGTATCCTGTTGTGTGTTCCGCCTTGGCCTCCGTCGTGGTTGTCTTTTTGGTAGATTAGTTTGCAGACCAGGCTCTGCAGTATGCGACTGTGTTCCCAGAGTCACATCCTTCCCAGCCTGTTCCTCCAGAGCGCGCAGCTTCTTCAGGATGGGAATTTTCTCCAACTTTTCTGCATCCAGCTACAAAGACAAAAGAACCGGTTTTAGCTCATACTGCTTAATAAATATCTTTACAGCAGCAGGATATTTCACTTCCCACACGGTTAAAAATAAACTCTGCCGTCTTGATTTGTTGGGTCTTCAAGTGTCCTGGCAGCCTTTGATGCTGACCAGTTATGTATAGGATACAGGGCTATTGTTTCTCACGCTGGCCTGTTTGACCCGCCGTTCCTCCTGAACCCTGCAGAGCCAAGCTGGCTGGGCAGAGCCGCCTTTGATGATCAGACTTAGCCTTCCTGACTGGGAGGTCACTGGGGCTTGTTTACTTACATGTGTCTGGAGAAACCCAGAGCTTACACACATCACATGCCCACAAGACAAGAATGATATTCTCATCTTGTCTGATTAAAATTAATCATGGAGAAATTCACACAATGTCTCTGCCAGTCAGTGTCAGTAAATCAGGAGGAGGATTTAAACCAGACCGTGTCATAAACAGACAGGAAAGAAAGTGAGATTTGGACATAATGCAGAGAGGATACTTTGATACAGCACCTGGACTTTGTATTAAAATACACACTGAAACCTCTGCTAATTTTTATGAGCACAAGTATTTTATTATTAATTTTTATTATCTAATTGTTAATATGTTGTTATAAAATATCAAATGAACAGTTAAAGAAACAGCGATTTCAAAATATTATGAAGATAAATAGGTTCAGTCCACTAGGGGGCAGTGTTACCTTAAATAATCAGTAAAGTAGGGATATCAAGCACTGAAGCTTAGTCTAGGCAAGGGTCTGAAACCTTTTAAAGCCAAGTTAAATAAAGGTTGTTTGGAGCCACAAGTATTACATACCCTTTAGTTACAATAAAACTTGGTAATTTTGTTATCTGTAATATGAGATCTCTTGCTATTTTATTGAAAAAAAAATTTTTATTAGTATTTTTAGTTTTCAACCTTTTAATACGAAGTGTGCCATATTTCAACTTTTGAGACCTCCACATCATCAGCATAATATTTTGGCTCTTGAAAAACAGGATTTATACAATTAAACAAAAGACGGGAACAGAAAATTCATAATAAAATAAAAAAGAAATGCTTAAATGTGTCACAAATTATGCAAATAGCTTCTCTAATTTAAATGATTCAAAGTTTATGGATTTTTTTTTATTATTATTTACAATGTTGACAACGATGACCCTAGTTTTGAAAAATTATAAATTGTCTGTCAATATTTAACGTTTTAGACTTTACAGGATAAATCAAATCTTTCATAAAGAGGAAGAATTACTTTCCGTTAAAGGATATTGTAACAAAAAAAAACTAATGACAAGGAATATAGAGCTAAAAACATATGTGTTGTGAAACTTCAGTTTGAATGTTGAATTTATAAAAATCTGCAAAACCTTCTAAGAATGGCATACGTTCATTTACTAAATTCAAAACAATCAGTTGGTTCTTAATCGTTTTTAGCCACTGTTAAGAGCCATAGCAGCTCCGGAGCCACAGGTTGCTGCTCTAAGGAAAAGCCTACACAGTGAATTTAAGAAGTGAAACACCAAAAAAAGAGAGATATCTTTTGATATGGTGCAAGAAAACTAGCAAGAGCTTCACAAACAGAAATCATCTATTTTTGCATATTTCTAGTTAAAAACAAAATGCAAGAAGATTTCATGCTGTACTTGTTTAATAAGTAAAGATAGGACCAATATTTTGTTTAAACAACCTAACATGTGTTAGGCGCATATTGGGAGAAAGGCTGTTGCACTGAAATAGTTAAAAGGCAGTGAAAATGTTGAGACATTGGACTTAAGTTCAAGAATTGTTTATAAAATGAAGAATATAAAGGACAAGCCTGTGCACCCTCTTCATCTGACTGCTGAACAACAACAGAGCATCTTCAGTCAGAGGCTTCTCTGGATCCGCTGTCAGAGCTAAACTAACACCATGCTCCAAGGAGAGTCAAACAGGAACTGAGTCATTGTGAGTTTGGAACCAAGCCAGCTGTGGCAATGATGACCTATTTGGTAGTTTTCGATGTATATATAATGAGAATGTTAGTTAAAATTAATATATTTTGACCATTTTCAAGGACAGAACTGACATTCCAGAAATGCATTGTGTGCTACAAGCCCCTAACGACCTCCCTTTCAGAGGCATAGACCAGTATCTGGTATTGCAGGCTAGCAAAGAACCCAAAACGATTCCCCATTTCTTAGGGGGGGATGTTCTTCTGGTTCGATTTGCATGTTTTCTAAGCCAAAACAAGTTGTTGGGCTACTATATAAAACTTCGACCTCAACGCTTATTCTGACATTTTGAAGTGGAAAACTCTTCCTGGATGGGAAGCAAAACATCTTCAAACTTGGAAACAAAGTTAAATGGACTGTTTTTTTTAACTTTTTTTTGGAATGCTACAAGCAGGCATGGAGGGGATAAGATACTTTCAAAATAAAGTGTATAAATAATGACATGATCTATGTCTCAGACTTATTAATGAGACGTCTAAGGGGCAACAATGAACCCCGCCCTACACAGGCAGGTCTAGTGCCTCTGTATAACTAGTCCTGGCCCCTATTATAACCCCTGCACATATATTGACATTATACTGAATCAATATTTAAAGAAAAAAAAACGCAGTTGGTTGCTTGCTTTAGATAATTATATTTCTTATGTATTATTAATTTACCAATGATGTAAAAAGGAAGGTGTTTTAGTTTTAGCTTTACCAGGTTTTAGACAGGCTCAGAGTTTTCACCTGCTAGATCAGGGGTCTGCAACTTGCAGCTTCACTTACTGCATGAAATGGTGCCCTTGTCCCACCCTGCCCCTGATGGTTGTAAAGCATTTTATGTAAAACAAAAAAGTAATTTTTGAACAAAACTCATTAATCAGAGAGAAAATAAGAATGTAACTGGCATGCTAACAATATATTTAAATGTAATTGCTCCGTGGCACCGTACGGGATAGATACATAGCATTTGCTCTTACCTTAGTCCAGATGATTCCCTGCGGTTTGGGCAGCTTGCATTCAGTTTTAATGACTCTGGTTGGAGTGAGGATGTAATCGACTGTTAGGTCATGACTCCCCATGAGCTCCTCTGGAATATCTACCACCTGAAACAGACATGCATAGATACCATTAGCTTATAACAGGACGATGGATAATAAAATCTTTAATGAAGCAGTTGTTACTTGCCAGGAAATTGGGCAAAAACTAACCTGGCAGTCATGGACAACAGTGACGACCACGGTGGATTCATTCACAGCTCCCATGGAAGCCATCATGGCCCACTCCATATCTGCAAAGCCCTCCCCCTTTCCAATCCGGCAGCCTGAAGGTGGTGCACACAAGCAAAGATGTTTTTCAAAGTAAGGTTTAAATAGATAGGACATAGTTTTACAAAATAATTAAAAGAATACAATTTTTATCATCAGATTTACTTAACTTGAAATAAATCAATGAAAACATATCTACATTTTAAGCTTTGAAGAGAATGTGTTAATAAAAAAAAAACACCTTTTTCTTTGGTAAAATGAACAAACCTTTCTCAGAAACTGCCACAGAGCCAACAACCACCAGGTCCACCTTCACTGTTGCATCCAGGCCAACAGGAACACTAAAGTCCTTTACACCCTGTAGGGGATCCAAAGGACTGATTAAAATCTCTTGATCTGTCTGGGACTCATGGTTATTGTCGGGGTATGAAACAGCTTTCAAACCTGAGAAGAACAACAAACACGCAGCTGCTCCTTGTTGGCACCCTGCGGGGGAGTGATCTTATTGAAGAGACCAGAGCGAAGACGAGGAGTTGGAACCAACAAAGTTTTTTGTGCCTGTGAGGATGATGCCAACCAATGAAGAACAAGAGATCAGGAATTTTTTAAAAAGACATAACAGTGATGTATAAGATATGCAAAGTGATGATGAAAATAACAATCAGATAAAAACAAAAACAATTATGATTGTGTTTCATTTAATGTTTTACATTTTAGAAAGGATTTTGTTTTTTCCTGCAAAAATGACAGATTCTAAAACATGTATCTCTGCAGATCAGTGTTTTTTGGTGCCTTTCTTCCAGCAATGCAGTGCTACCTGCAGCACTGCAAACCGAGCACCCTCCAGAGGTTTGTCAGGATCCACTTTCACCTCAGCTGTCTGGGCGAAAGCCTGCAATTCTGCCACTTTGCCGCAGGCTCCGAAGGCCCCCTGTAGAGGAAAGACAGCAATACATGGAAGGGTTTCTTTCTTGCTTTTGGTTCAACTTACTTCCAGTGTGACAAAGCGAGCCTGCTGCTGGGGTCTGTCTGGGTTTACTTTCACTGTCTGGCTGGATTTAAACTCCTGCAGCTCTGCAAGCCTGTTGCAGGCCTGATTTGCTCCCTGACCAAAAAAAACGCAATGAAAAAAAATTTAAACCACAAGAACTATGCAGCGAAACTTTCAGATATAGTAACATCTGATTTAAGCTACAGCTATAACTACAACTGCTATTCATTTGAATATTGATATTATTTACTTATCTGTGCACAGCAGTTTTCCAACAGCTCAACATCTAAATCAGTGGATCTTAATGCTGGGTCCCTACGTATTTTAGAAGAGCCCCTGTTTGAATGCATCCATAATAATCAATATAACACCAACAGCAGAACAAGAACTTATGAAGGAGCAGCAGTATTTGTGTACTTTAAGAGAAAGATTTGAAGGCTCAGATAAATGGAGTAGGACTGTAACAAAGGAAAAACCTGCAACCTGCACTATCGAGTAAGATTACAAAAAAATCATATACCTATATTTTTTTAAAGGTTTGAAATTCAAACTATGCATTATAAATAAATATTTTCCCTTGGGTATCAAGGAACATGAGAAACAGTACTGCAGAAAAGTTGTACTATATATTTTTCCACATCTATGTAGCTATGTTCATACTTCTGACAATCTCTTATTCAGACGAGAAACAGGTTATAACTTACCATGTCGTAACCTGATATAAGTAGACATAAATCAAGATAAAGTTGCTACAGCAACATGTGAAAGTAGTGCTTAGTTTAACACATTAAGAACCAACTTGATTTGATTTTATTAGGATTTTATGTGATAGACCACATCAAAATACTGGATGGATGTGAAGTTAATGGTAAATAATATGGCAGTTTATCTGTTTTTTTTTTTGTGTTTTATAAAAAAAAATGATGTGTAGATAAATGTATTTAGTAAAAACCCCTCTCTGCTCTTTCGAAATAAAATTTGTAAAAAAAAAAAAAAAAAAAGGGAATCTGTTTTTTATGCAAAAATATCTTAAAATGTAAATTTTCATTCCAAAAATGTTTTTTAAATAATAAACCATAAACTATTGGATTTAGATCTAGATTTTAAAATGGAAGATGCTTTTCTGTACCTATGCCAAGTCAATGGCATAGGTACAGCACCAATAAGCACCAATAAGATGCTGGTGCATTTCTCCATTTTTAGCCTTTTTCAATGTCGTTTCCCTTCACAACTGACAGATTTTTGTTGATCCTCAATATTAAAATCCTCATTATACTTCTATATTATGGACTAAGGGGTAAAACTAAGGGGTATGAATATCATAGCAGCCTCTTAAGTGCAAATTATTTTTAACATGCCAGCCAGCAGAAAATGACCGTGGAGCACAAAGAAAAAAAGAGGGGATTAAATGTATTCCAGGGGGTAATTTTAAATCTATAAGATCTGCTTTAGTGGCAGTGATCCGGCTGTAAAGTATCTCCCCTAAGAAAACGGAGGAAAACAGTTGCTCAATGCTATTTTTAGTGTCCCAAAAAAATAATGACCCCAGAGACCCGAAATAGCCCACAAGCCGAACTCGTAGGACAAGATCTACAAACCCAACCAAAGAAATAAGAATCAAATTGAATAGTGACGTCAGAACTACTAATAAAATACACGGTGGTTCTTCCTCAGTCCGAACCTGCCTTAAAGTTTGGGATTCTGTTGTGAACAGGCCTGGGAAAGTTAGCTAGGTTCTTTTCTTCTATGAAGTCCCAAACTTTCTGGCGGATGTCCCACTTCGACGCTCCTGCACGTTAGAATAAGAAGAAACAGGGTTTAGGAAAAGTATGACCGTGCAGAGCTACATCAGCGAGTGTTGCTCTTAGCTACATTTTAAAGCAGATAAAACTGGACGATCGATCTTCTTACCTGGGTTTATTTTGATGACAGGCTCCATGATGTTGTTTTGTGTTGGAAAAGGACTGATGCTTCAACACTGAACTGCGCTGGGAAATCCTCCACGTGAGCATTAACATGTAGAAACAGCTGCTTGTCAATGTTTATCGCTGCTACGGCGGCCTGTAAAGGACAGTTTTTGTAAAGCGCGAAGTCGACTTTTAAGCATCTGTGAGCTCCATACCTTGACGTTATATGAAGTAACACCGGGAGAGGTAAGAAGGGAAATAATTACATTATTTTAGGAGTAGTTCTACTGCAACATACTTTTATCTTCTACTTTAGTCATATTATTATAAAGTAATGCCATTCTTATTGAATAAGCATCTCTGACTGTTTGTGGGGTATCAGGTAATTTGACAAGACAGTAGGGAGCCTTGGAAATTGGTTGTCATAGCTTTAGAAAGCAATCCTACATTTAATTAAATATCTAACATTTTGTTTTTAACTAATATGTAGAATTAGTTTTACTACTTTTTAAATGACTGGATATATGGAGCCACCTTGGAGCGCATAACTAAGCTTAATAGAATAACAACAAAAATCTGGTCAGTGGTAAGAGAAAATTAAAAACCATGAAAATTTCAATGTGAGGCTTTCTAAATCATACAGGAATCTATACATTCATTGTATTGAACATGCATGACCTAACAGCATTTTAAGACTGCATATTTGTTGTTTAAAAAAATCAAAAATTTTCACACAAAGCCTGAATGAAAATTAGAATTTAATAAATAATGTTGAAACCAAATATTTACATACATTGTATAAAAAAAGTAACAACAAATAACATTCTTGCAGGCTAGTCTAAGTTAAAAAAAATGATTCACATTTGCTAAAAAAAATAAATAAAAAGACTTAGATTATTACACTATGAAATGTTTCTTTTGCTTTTCCATTAAACTTTAGTCACCACACTTTTCCTTAGTTTTTGTTAAATTTTTTTTACACAGGATGAGCTTTAGAGCAAATAATTAAAACCAGGCAGTGGTGTTCTCAGTCAGCCATATTGTAAAAAGTGTTGAACTAACTCGAATATTTTTTGTGCTTGGCAAAAGTTACAGTCAGGCATCTCTTAATTTGTAAACTTAAGGGCACAACTCCAATAAAGACTGAAAACATTACCTTGATCTGAAAAAGATTGGTATTTAAAACTAGCCCCAGAACGAGGTAAAAAAGCAGATTACGTTTTTTATTGGAAATAAAAGCTCTCACATCACTCATCTGCTTTACAAAAAATGTGCTTGACTAATTAAACCATCTAATATCCATTATACCAGTTTCTCTATTTTGAACTGAAAAAAAAAACTTGACTAATGCTCCATTTTTTCCTACAAAGAAAACTTCCTCCAAATCTTTCTGGCTTTATTCAAAGAGGTTGATAAATAAACCCTTATGCTGTAGACATTGTGAAATTGCATTATTCGTCCAGTAGGGGGCAGGCTGTAACAGCCAATTTAACTAGGAATAGGGAGGCACCATTTCCTTCTTATCTAAAGGTGTGGGATTTTTTTTTAACCCCTTTATAAAACCACCTTTGTTGCAGTGAATCGTGCTTTACTGTCATCTAAATGTCATGTCTTAATTTCCTGTATTCCATACACTACTATCTGACAAGACTGGGTGTGTCATTTTGCCTTGAATTATGGATTTGTGTGCCACCCTCACACATGTCTATACTGACACCCTAAGAACCAGCTTCCCATCTCCAGTGGTCCACAGCCCTCCCTGACCCCCCCACTCTCTCTCTCTCTCTCTCTCTCTCTCTCTCTCTCTCTCTCTCTCTCTCTCTCTCTCTCTCTCTCTCTCTCTCTCTCTCTCTCTCTCTTGCAGTCTGGGCTGTGTGCCAGCCCAGCCCTCCCCTTTTTCTGTTTCTCTCCCCTCTTAGCTCTGGATCTTTCTGTGTTTTCTGCACAGAGCCAAACCTCACAATGCTGCGTTTCCCAAAGCGAGTGGCTGATAAATCTGGTGTGATGTTGCTGTTTCCAGACTTCCTTGTCTGCAGTGCAGACTTCACATTGCTCTGATGGAAGAGTGGGACAGGTGGACTGAGCTGGAGGAGGAACTGCACATCTCCTGTCTGGAACAATTCTAACAGCTGTAGACAAAAAGAAAAAAGGGTGGAACAGAGTCATTTCAGAACCTAGGTCTCTCTGTGTCCACCCACCTCCACCACCCCCCTCTTTATTCTCTCCTATGCACACTCACTTGCATACATCCCCCTTCCCCATTTGTGTCCTCCTCTCCCCAATGCTGGTGTGGTGAGAAGCTGAAGAGCTGCATGGAGGCACAGGGAGGGGCAGGGAGCCCAGGTAAGAGCCATTTTCCTCTTCTTTCTATTTGATATCACAGCTGTGAACAGGGTTGGCACAAAATCCTATTCTATCCATCCCACTTCATGAGACTTGGGTTAAAAACATCTTAAGTTCTTTTTTTACATCCTCATTTACACTGTGTGAGTTTCTCTTTTAGGTCTATGGTCTTAAGCAACTCTTGAAGAGTTGATCAGTTGTCATTATTTCTTTACAATGAATTTCTTTTTGTCTATTCACACAGTTTAATTGTATGTTCTTTTGAAATCAGCTTACTGGAGGTCAACCATGCAAAAGCCGGACTGCTGAAACACAAATGGTTGAACGATAGAATGGTCTTTGTGTAAAAGCCACCCAGAGAAGGAGGTACTGTGGTGCTACTGAGTTAAGCTTTATTGAGGCTTTTGCACAGAAATACAATTAAAAGTGATTAGTTTACAAATGCATATGTGTGTAGCATACGTTTGTTATAGATAGCATATGAGCCCTCAGTGACACGCCCATCAAGATGTGATGAATAAAAGGAAGATTTCCAGTGAACTGAGTTTTTATTTATGGAATAAAAATAAAACGTAGCACCAAAATTATTGTTTTGAACAACTGAACATTCTTGCTCCGTAAATCATCCCTCATTAAGAACATGTAGGATTGCTGAAATTAACTGTACATATTTTTCGGGAAAAAATTATTTGAACCACACTGCAATTAGAATTTCTAAAACAAATATCTAAAACAAGTATTAAAATCTAAAAGTTAAAAGTGGCTACACAACTGGTGCAACAAATAGGTGTGGTTTGCACAAAAATGTCTAATTGTTCAGTAGCCATTCACAAGCAACTGGAGTTAGCAGCAAATGTTACAAAGTCATTATTGTGTTTAAATGGACCTATGAGCAGCAGCTAATTTATAGTCCCTCTTGAGGCTTTTCAACATTGTGTTAACCCAATAAAATAAAATTCTAAAATTGTATAAAGGGACTGTACTTTAAACCAAACATAGCTTACAATATGTAAGCTTGTATGAGTAATGAAAACAGCAAGTCTTAAACAGAGCGTGCACCAGGAGAAATGGGCTTGAGCATGCTCTTGCACGGGTTTAATAGACTTCCCTCTAGGGAATGGGTACGGGGTTGTGCATGTGCATTTTTTTTTTAAGTGGAGAGTGCAGGTCTTATAAAAAAATCACGAAAATCCTCCACTATGCCTTTTAGTGTTTTGTAACTATCTTTTTGTGAATAACGTTTATAATTCCTCGTAGGATGTAGTATATTTCCTTTGCCATGTGGCCTTTACTTTCTTAAGAAAGGAAACATTTCTGACTATGACTAAAAATTTACTTTTTAAACATTTCTGACAGTTACATGAAGTATGTTTGCTGGGTTATGCTTTACATAATCAAACACAAAGCCAAACAAATAAATATATATGTACATTGAGAATACAGGAAAAAAATCCTTCCCAGTATGGCACCATGGGGTATGTTTATTTGTCCTTCTTGTCCTACAGTTGATCTGTTAATCCAAGGCGAAATTCAACTTATCCCCAGGAAAGAATCCCACTGTAGATCATTATCCCCAACCCCCCACCCGCATACATCTGTTCTTGTTCCATAATATGTTCTGGATTAGCTTTTTGCAGGGACAGCAGCAGTAGACCAACAAAGTCATTAGCAGAGAAAGACACACATATAAAAGCCAGCTTTGTCTTCATTTGTACGACACCAACACAACACTCAAGCTTCTTCATCTGCTGGTGGCTGGATAAGCTAAATAAACTTCTCTTTCGCTTTTTGCAGATGATATTGGGACTATCTCAATTAGGGCTGCAACTGACGATTATTTTGCAAAACGATTAATCTGTCGATATTTTTTTCAATTAACAATCAGATAGCCAAATATTCTTTTAAGAAGACTTTATACCAAATCAAACCATGTGAAACTAACTTTTCCACTTGAAAAAAAAAAATGATAGAAATAGAACTTTATTGATCTCACAGAGAAAGGAGAAAGGAACTCTTTGCATTTGACCCATTCCCGTTGGGGAGCAGTTGGCCGCCACTGTGCAGCAACCAGGAAACATTGTGGGATTAAGGGTCTTGCTCAGGAACCCAGAGTGCAGGCGTGGGAATCAAACCAGATACTTGCAACCTTCTCAGAGCATAAGCGCACTGCTCTAACCCACTAGGCTAACACTCCCCAACACTTCAAGTGTTCTGGATAGAGCATTTTGCCAGACGGAAATGTTTTTTTCATCATAAATGCTAAATGTTTATATATTTTTTTTACAATCTTGGTATAATTACTGCTCTCAGTGGGTTTCTCTGTTAGCAAAAGGCATGTTTTAGAGTCTCTATTCTCTAGTAAATTATTATTCAATTACTAAATTAATTGACAAGTATCTCAATAATCGATAAATCACAATTAAATCAGATTAATTGTTTAGCCCTAATCTCACTGTCTCTGTAACAATTGCTATGTTATGCTTGAAGGCCTAAATCATTTAAAACCAGTGTAGGTTTGAACACTGGATGTGTTGGAATGCCATTAAACAATAGATAGTTAGTTATTAAACAATAGATAGTTAGTCATGAACAATGCAGAAGTCAGAAAAGCTTCATTTCAGGCAGAAAATTACGTTTGAACATGTATATTATGTATAATTAATTATACATGTGTAAATAATAAGATTGTGTACATAATTTCATGTTTATGTCTGCAAGGGGGATGAGGATTTGAAACTTATCTAATCATACCACTTCTTCCTATAGTCCTTAACAAAGTCATTCCCATTCCTGCTTTAGTTATGAGT